CCTTGAATCACCCTGTAGATGTGCCGCACATCCGCAATCACGGCATTTAGGCCTACATTGCCGTGATTGCGGATGTACGGCACACTCATGTGCGGCACATAAAGAACTTATATCTCTCTCTCTAGATAGGTGTACCGTGCTGGGCAGAAACGGTAGCCAACTGACTAGAGAGATAGTGGAAGCAGGAAATATTGCCAGGGATGACGACAAATGTGTAAGCACTTCATCGCTCACTTCATCGGGAAAAGAATTAGCTTATCTTAGTAGCTTATCTTCTTAGCTCGCATGAGTGTCATTTAACGGGATATAGAAGAAAAAGAAGCCAATATTCACGAATGTATCGAAAAGGCGTAGAAGAAAAAGAAGTGTAAAAATAGAGATTGAGTTGTGAGTCACCGCTGTGTGAGTGTTTTGTCTGCTGTGACTGTTTCCCCAAGTGTGATTGTTTCTGTGGCCTGTGGTGACGTGTGTTTGTGTGGATTGCCTACTTGCGCTGTTATTTTTTAGCTACCCGGGATGTTTGTCTTGTCTGTCTACTCTGCACTGGAGTTAGGGAAAGAGGAATGATAAGGATATACTGATGAGAAAGCACAATAACGTGATTGAGATGATGATGAGGGACAAGGTTGTGGTGTCTAAGAACCAGATGGCGCCACATTCCCGCTGTCCGGCATGCGTTAGAAGAGTCCCAAAGGCGAGGGGGTGACGGACGGAGAGAATGCATGGCGGTGCGTCGGAGATCAGACGCGCGAGGCTTACTACGCAAAATAAAGTTTTAAGTTTTGGTTCGTTACCTGGTCGTCTCCCTCGGCAACACACAAACGACACTACAAGTCTGGCGACGAGAATGGGATGCTGGGGAAGACCGCAAGAAGATCCAGCTCGACAGAACGTCTAGGGAAGACGCCAAAAGAGACTCGAGAGCAAGACCCGCAAGACCACGCCGGTCGAGGGCTGAACAAAGAAGCTGCCCTAGAACCAACTAAGCAGTCGCCATGGACCTTCGCGTCCCGAGCATTCCTCCGTTCGATCCGTATGCTGATCCAACTTCTGTGTCTCAGCGCTGGATCGATGGCATGCAAGATTCGAGAATTATCTCATCGGCTCCCACGTCACGAACGACGAAAGAAAGCGTGCACTGTTGCTGCACCTCGCGGGAGAAGCCGTTCACGACATTTTCATCACGCTTCCGAACACGGGCACTCTTTACGAGACCGCGGTCGAGAAACTGAAAGCTCACTTCGCGCCCAAGAACAACGCAGTTTTCGAGAGACATGTGTTTCGGCAAGCGAAGCAAGAGCCGGCAGAGACTATCGACCAGTTTCATGTGCGTCTGCGGCAACTAGCCCTAAAGTGCGAGTTCGCAGACGTGGATGGAGAAGTCCTGTCACAGATTATAGAAGCCACCGCGTCGAGGAAACTGAGAAGAAACGCGCTCTGTGAGCCGGACATGAAACTGGAGCGGATATTGCTCGAAGGGCGCAGCCTCGAGAACGCCGAGAGACAAGCCGCCGACATAGAGAGAAAAGTGTCGGTGCCGGTGAACAAGGTATCACCAAAGAAGAAACCATGGGCCCGGAAAACACAGAAAAAAGAAGTCCCCCCGACGAAGACATGCACGTGTTGCGGGAGAGGTCGGCCACACGACGGAGGCAAGGAGAAGTGTCCAGCATGGGGATCAACTTGCCACAATTGCAACAAGAGAAACCACTTCGCCAAGATGTGCAGATCGCGCAAACAAGAGCAAATCAGAACGGTTCAAGAACTGGAACCAACTCGGAGCGAAGACGTTTCCGAAGAACTGTACTACGTGCAGCAGACACAGTCCAAGATCCCCAGCGTGACTGTAAAAATAGAAGGAGTCGAGATCGGAGTCTACGTGGACTCAGGAGCAGGAGTTGACGTAATGGGAGAAACAACTTGTTTCCCCCATTAATTGTTTTGTCATCAATCTTAACTTCGGTTATTTCGGGAATTGTTTTGTCCTCAATCTTAACTTCGGTTATTTTCTTGAGGAATTTTGCCAGCTCTTTCGTGTCGGTCTTGACCGAGATCGTGTTGGCTTTCTCGATTAGATGCATGGTGAACAATGCGTTCTTCTGGGTGCCCAAGATGGGCATCTTGAGCTGGGGCAGAAGTGGCTTGATCGGTATACGTGATCTCGTCAGGCGGATCTTGAATTCGAATTGTCGACGGCGTTGCCGAGATGTAGCGTCGGCGACGGCAGCTGGCTGTGTTGGGTCTCCCCTGACCCTTTTCCTTTTCTTTTTGTTCGTGACGACTGCCCAGTCGTTCTCTGGTAACTGTTCTTCTTCAGCCGCAGCTTGTGCCAAGCCTACGGTGTTCTTGATTCCTGACGTAGCTTGCGTCTCGCCGTGTTGCCGACTCGTCGCGGCTTTGTCACACGTAACGTCTGGAAGTGCAGGCGTAGCGGCTGGCACCACTGGTACCGGCGGAACCATCCCGCTTGCGACCGACATTGGGGTACTTGCCGGGGCCTTCTTGGCCGCCGGTTTCTTCTTCTTTGCCTTGGCTGGGGGAACTATATTGTGAGACTCGCCTAGAATGCTCTTGAAGATGTCGATGAGGCTGTCCTTTGGGATGGTCGAAAGGAGAGCCCTCAGGGCTTGCTCGGCTGAGGGCGCCGTGCTAGCTGAAGGAAATGTGGCTCGCTCACTGAATTTAAATACAGTGTGAACTTCGAAGGTCAGTTTCTTTAGTATCGAGGGCGTACTGGCCTGGCTTGCTTTCCCCGTCGTGTCGGCGACGGGTCCGGCGTCGCCTTGTCCGGCGGCAGCGGTCCTCGTGTCCATGGCTTCTGTTTGCTCTTGGCCAGGCTGGCTAGAAGTATTGGTCGCTTCTTCTTGATTCACCGGAGGATTAGGGCCTCCATGAAGTTCAAAAGAAGGGTCCAAATTTGGTAGCACGGGGCTGGGCTTGGCGCCGAGCATTTCTTGATTGGAGAGCATGAGAAACACGGCCGTTCGCTACGGTGTCTTCTTCTTTCTCCTGCTGATGGTGCCGTTTTCATTCATGTCAGTGAAGAATGTTTTGTTTTCTACTTTTTCTTTTTTTAAGAAGACAGATAGGATGGCATATCAGAGCCCCCTATTTTTTTCGTCTTTTTCTTTTCTTATTTTTTTATTTTTATTTTTTTTTTTCATTTTTTTTTCTTGCTCTCGCTGCTGAACTCACGAGCAGGGGCACGCCGGACGGCGGACGAACATACGGACATGGCTAGCCCCTAAGGAGCTTCGCCCCTAAAAGTCTGTCCTTGTAGCTTTTTGTTTTCTTGTTTCTTTCAAAAATGCGTATCCACCAATGAAATTTTGCCAACTTAGCGTCCGCGACCAACGTGAAAAATGGTAATGACGCGCGAACAAAATGCGACCGACAAACGCGACCGAGAAACGCGACCAGGGGCGCTGCCCAAACTTGAGAGCTATCCTCAGGTTTGGTAATAGGCTGGGCACCAGGCCCCTCGCTGAGGCCCGAGGGAGCGCCTTCCGTATACCCGCCTGCATAAACGAAAGCACGACAGCAACGTGGCTACACGCCATGCATGCAGTGCTTGTGGGGATGGGGAAGAAGCCATATACACCACTTGGTTCTTGAGCGTCCGGCACTTGCACCGGCAGCAGACCTCAGCGCTCGCATTGAGCAAGCCCTCGGGTTTACCGAGGAGAACACGTATGTGCAGCGATCGAAGCGGAGACTCCAGGCCTGGTGGGCAGTACAAACTAAACTAGTAAATACACTCCGCTCTCTGACCTTTTTTTTTTTTTTTGGCGTGTCTATTTAGTAGACGATTCAAAGGGTATCGCCGCATACATACACACACATACATACATACAGCTACAAACCTATCGGAAAAAACCTATCGGCCCTAACGACAAACCTATCGGCAAAATGCGCTGAGGCTTCCAGCGGATTCCTTGTCAGGATTAATGTATTACGTGTTTCACCGAACACATATTTGTGAAAAATTATGGCAGTGACTTATTTATTTGTTAAGAAAGAAAGAAAAAATCGTGGTTTTCAGCCTCGGCACAAAAACGAACCGCAGAAAGCTCCAACTTCATGGGGATGTGCCGCTAGCGGTCGGAATAAAACGGCAAAGTTTGGGAACATGACGTTTCCTGGATAAAAAGATAACTGCGAAAATTGTAATTTCTCTGATTCGATGTCCACCTAAACCCAATATCGTCAAAACATGGCATGATATTGTGGGCGCCTGTAACAACTATTTCAGTGAAAAAAAAGAAAAGAAAAAAAAAAAGAAACTTTTCAGCAACAATGAAGACAATATCCTCTTTCTAGCTGAAACGTGCTTTTTCAACCATATAAATTCTACAAGTGCCCAGAATGTCAATTCGTGCATTGACGATATTAGGCTTAGCCTCATAAAAAAAAAGCTTCATTTTGTTCAATTATCTTTTAATCCAGGTAACGTCATGTTCTCAAACTCTCTCGTTCTATATCCCAACCACTAGCATCACAATCTCACGAAGTGTGGAATTTTTATGATACGTAGTACATTTACCTGAGCCAAAAAGCACGGTTTTCTTTTCTTTGGAACTCCCTAAAGCGCTGCAATGAAGTCTTGGAAAACAAGGTCTTAGTGTTGAATTTTTTCGCGTCACCTACCGGACACTAGAACGGGGCAGATTGGTCACGAATACTGAATGAGCGTTCAGCAGCGGGGCTCGTGTTTCGTAGGTGCAGAACACGCATCTCAATTGAGCGCTGACGTAGTATTTTCTCTCGAATAGGTAGGTGGCCCGCGCTGGGCGTCTGACAGATAACGAATGGAAAATATAACACTACGCCTTGTCACGTAGATGGTGGAAATAATCCCTGGAGAAGGGGAACAAGAGGGACAAAGGACAAACACAAATCTCCTGTCCTTTGTCCCTCTTGTTCCCCTTCTCCAGGGATTATTTCCGTCATTGTTGTCCAGCTCGCTTGCACCTTTGCATTTAATTGCATTATAAACGTAGATGGTGTAGGTTGAGCTGCCAGAACTGGGTACCCACTTAAAATTTGGACAGACTGTGATCCACTGAAACTGGCACAGTCGAATCTTCACAGGTAGCAAAATACAGCGGGCAAAACGAGCAACGTAAAGGTCAATTATGCGGAGCACAGGTCCGTCTGCTTCTTTTGCAGGGTTGTGGAGACGTCAGAAAGACGCCCCAGCTCTCAATGGTTTTGAATGAAGGATAGTGGGTAGACCTCAAGGCAGCTTGCTTTGAGGTCGACTCATTATCCTTCAATCAGAGCCAATCAGAGCTCTGCGCATTTCTGACGTCACAGCAACTCCTGTGGAAGAAGCAGACGGATTGCTATCCGCATAGCAGCGTCCCTGTACAACCGCCAAAAAGCGTGATTTGTTTAGTCGGTGATAGCGCGTCCACAAAGAGAACGAGCGCCGTGACCATGCACTTTTGGCGCAGCTTGATTAAATCCGTTGTAGCGTACCGTTGCAGAGGTCCAACTCAAAGGCCGACAATTAGACTCGACATTCTGCAAGGCAGAATATCCTGCTCACCATGGGGGAGGAGGTAACAGGCCACGGTGGACAGGGAATAATGGGGGAGAGAAGGAAGCGAGGGAGAAGTAGAAAGCGTGAACTGGTAGTCGGTCTTTAAAGCGAAACGAAGTATTGAAGAATTAGCGTTTATGTCGGAAACATTTACTTCCAGGAGTCGACCCCCGGAGATGTTGGGAAGCGTGAAATCCCAAGGATTGAGGGTTGGTTACAAGAATAAATTTGGGGCTCGAGCTTATGTGGACGAAGTGAACCAGAGGTACAAACCGGTTACTGCTTTTCAACTTGAAGCACTTCACGGCATCTTTCAATCAGGTAAATGGTAGCCAGTGTTCCAAATTGAAAAAAAAAAGAAACAGAGAGTATGCGTTATAACACGTGCGGACGTCATAGCGCCCAATCATTGATTAGAACGAATATATTGGGAATAGACGCAAAGGCTGGCTGCCTTTGTCTCTGTGCGCTGTTCGAACCCGCGTTGGAACGCCGGAGTCTGAAGTTCAGACGCGCGCAACACAGCGTGAGGAGCAGATGTCGCTGTTCCTATATAGACTAGCTTAGTCATGGAACTGCCCTTAGACGCTGCTTCCTCTGGCAGTACTCCCTCCCCCCCCCCCCCCCCCCACCCCCTCCAACCTTCTTTCCCCCCCGTCACGGCCCACGTTCCATCGTTCGACGCGCCACCGTTTTCAGGATGGCAGCTATGGCAACTGAAGTGTATTCTATGGAATGCAGGCGTTTTGAAGCACAGCGTCTGAATGGCGTTTCACCGTACTTGATGGAACAGTTTTGAAACTAAAATCTAGATGGCGCTTCAAACGACGGGAGTCAGGCTTAAGAGGTTGAAAAGAGCTACCTCGTAGAGGTTGTTATAGATTATGGGACCTTCGGCTTAAAATTGAAGCATACAGCAACCGGTCCTCTTTTGCAGTGCTCCCGTGCATTCCTATGGGAAGGCGCGCGTGCATTTTGTCTCTTCGTCGGATAGTTACAGGAATTATCTCTGTTACTTGAATTGTAGCGAAAAATAAGTACCTTTGTTGACATTATAATTGCCAAATTGCCCCAGTTACAGTATTTTCCCGGTCAGTAAGCGATGTTTCACTACCGGATATTCCAGGTCCACTCCTATGTTCTGCAGCAAGTTTGTAGAGGCAAGCGGTGAATCTAAAAAAAAATAACAGTTGAAGAAAACGTTGTTTGAGGAGCACTAACATCCCCATGACGCTAATACTGATAACCGGCGAGACTTGTATGCCACTAAAATGACTCCCACTTACGAGCTGGTAAAACGCGTGACACAGTAAAAGTACGCGCACTATAAAAAGTGTCACTCTTTTTATTATTGTGCTGAATTTATCGGGCGGTAAGAGTTTTCCGGTTTTTCCCCATTTTCCTTTAAAATAAAGTGAACATACTGTAGTTGCGAAGGAATCTATATGGCTTTTATAAAACTATAACACATACTAAAAAAAACAAAAACAGATAGAGTCGACGAGTGTCCCTCTTCGACGAGAGCTTTCGCCACCGCGGAGAGAGCCTCTTTACATGGTACCTGACTACAGTATTCTATCTCCTGAGATTACAGATACAAAAACAAATGCCTCGTACGATTCATTCATAATTCAGTGATGCCGGTTGTTTTGACGCCAAATCTCTTATCAACCGACTCATTTTATTTATATTATGGAAGTAAATTAATTGAACTAAATAGACCATTTTATTGTATACTGGGAGTCAGTGACCCTAATGCTACTGGATGAGCTACTCTTCGAAGCGCCGACACTTCAGCTACCTTGTTCCTAATATCATTGTCGCCGGCGGAAGCTTTATTTGAAACCACAGAAAACGTTTTTCAGTCTTCCAGAAGTGTGAAAACCGGGGAGTCAAACAGGCTATCATTCCGTTAGATTCGAGTTCAGTATCTTTGCATTTTGTTCCGGTCCGGTTCCAGTTCAATGATACATTCTAAATAGCGGTCTGGTTACCGGTCTCACCAAGCGTGAACCGTTTCAAAACGGTTCTTGAAAACTGTTTCGGTTGGCTACCGAAATTTCCATATCTCGCAATTGTCAAAAAAAAAAAAAGGCTGTGCTCACACACCGTCTGCCGCATAAATAAAAGAAAAAAAAAGTTACCAGAAGCCGTGCTGCAGAAACGAGGAGAGCAAAACGTTTATGAGCTTAATTGCATTTTGTAATCTTGACTTGTTATCGCAAACACTGTTCTATGCATGTTACGCAGTTATACAGGCGCTCGGAAACTATCAAAGTACAGTACTCGCACATGGAGTCAACGAGCCACCACTCACAATGATATTTTGACCTTGGAATACATATTAGCGCTCAAAAACAAGGACAAAAAGACGAGAATTAGACACCACAGTGCGCTGGTCTGATTCTCACCTTTTTGTCCTTGTTTTTGAGCGCTAAAATGTATTCCAAGTTCCAAAACCAACTAGCCCAACAATCTACTCTACTGATATTTCGACAACAGCAGGCACAGTACACGCAAACAACACACCTCGCACCCCTGAACGCCTTGCTCGAACAATTGACTTTAGGAAAACGAGGGCAAAGGGCGGTTGAAAAATGATAAAAAAATGGATGAAAAGAAAGGGTAACATGCTGCTTTTGAAAAATTAACAACATATTATTCAAGCAGCGTCTAGGGGCTAGTCTGGGCGATTGGCATCCCGATGACCTGTGCAGCAGTGTCGTGCTCGTCGCGGCTTCGCCTCTTGGCGGCTCCAGACTTTGTTACCGCGGAAGAAAAACGACCACAGTCGTCTGGTTTTTGTTTTTAATTTGATTTTTATTGTCAATTTTTTCTTCCTTGGAGTATACTGCTTAACAACAAGGAAAGCAGCATACATACAAAATAGCACTTCAGCCTCTTGGCATAGTCACATACACCTCGTTTCCCCTTATGATGTTCCGCGATGAACGCTACGAGCTACCCGAGCCAATCCGTACCTCGTAGATTATGTTTATATTATCATAATCTTCTGTCAAACATATCCTTCTTATCATCCGTAATCGCTCTGTATGTATGCAAAGACAGGGCGGCGTCATGGAACTCCAGAAAATCAACGTTCCCTCCAGAACTACAAGTCATCTTCGGATGGTTGGTTCTGTCGCCTGGTCATACAAGAATATGCCTATTTTGTGCTCCGAGTGGTGGGATCAAGTTCAGTACTTCAAGGACTGTCTTCAGATAGCGTGTAACAAGGACGAGCGATATTTTAGAGCCTTCCGCAAATATCAGGAATGGTCAAGCGTCACCGCCCAGGTCACGGAGTTTCTTTGGTATCAGATTCGCCTCACGCTACCTTCCAAGAAGAAGATGCCCAATAAAGAAGAAAAGATAGTAATCCTCGGCGAGAAGCCAATTCCAGAGCATCATCAACTGCTGTTAAAGAATGGTCTTAAGTTTTGTTTTGAACCAGGGTTAACCCGGATAAACAAACTCGCAATGTAAAGGTCTGCGACTCGATCGATTCCGGAGGAAAAAAGACCAAGAGGCATCGAAGAGTGTGTGGACGTTTTGTCAAAAAATGATGGTAAGCCCTCGCGAGATAGGAGTCTAGAACCAGTTATTGACTTTCTGACATCAAATGGGTCGCTTATTCTGTTGTTCTACACGGAAGGATTTTTCGTCGTCTTGCCGGAGGGTAATTTTGCTGAGAAAGCTAATGCAGCTGTCCAGAAGAACTATAGGCAAGTCACAGAGCAACCAGCGAAGAAAACAAAATCGAGCCTTAAAGCTACTCTGCAGACTAAACTTGAGAAAGGTCGCAGCAGAAACCAAAAAAGGAAAGAAACTTACGCTAGAGGTATTTTTCGTAGTGAGAACACACAATCCAGGAATACCTTTTCGCACAGCATGTATCAGAGCGAGATACCTGGCTTCGGGCGGTTTCGACATATCTACAAATTAACTCACTTCAGATAGATGACCCATTTTGCATTCCTAACTCAACGTTGGCAATTGAATATAAAAAAAAAAACGATAACCCAGTAGGATGCAGCGCTTTCAGTATAGAAGTTGAAGAGTTTTATTATTCCATGCCCCATGATGAACTCATGAACAGCGTAAAGGAATGTATTTTAGACCACAGTGATGAAACAAGGTTTGGGACAAATAGCGGAATCCCACCAGAAGATTTCCTTTAACTTTTGTCCTTTTATCTAAAATCCACATTTATAGACTGGCAGGACGATGTTTATGTACAGAAGTCAGGCGTTTCGAAAAGTCGACAGGGAACTTGAATATAGATTGGTAGGTACGACAAAACAAATATTTAGGTATGTAGACGACTACTTGGTGTTCATAGCGAAAGCAGAATTTAGTAGAACACTTGACGACGTGCTAAGGTCGTTCACGGAAGAAGGCTTAGGCCTTTGTTTCACCCTTGCGACCCCTAAGGAGTATGAAAATAAATTTGTGGATCTCTTAGTGGAGGTAAAAGAAGAACATGTATCCTCGATTCACCACCCTAGAAACACTAAAAGCTTACTTAACTACAGATCGGCACATTCAATACTCGTTAAAAACGGCATTGGTTTTTCATGTTTGCGGTCAGCGCTTTCAAAAGCCTGCATCCACAAAATGAAAGTAAGCTTCTCTGCCCCATTCGCCAGGCTCAGGGACTGGAACTTTTCAAACACAGTTATCTAATCGGCCAGCGACAAACTAATTCGTAACATAAAGGTGGATCCCACAAAAGAGCACAAACAAAAGCTAAGAAAGGCAAAAAGAACGTACGGTCATACCATATATATTCACCGCCTCTCTGATGGGATAAAGGGAGTCGCCTCGAAATACGGGGTCAATGTCGTATTCTCAGCCTGCAACAATCTAAGCAGAAATGTAACCGCAATAAAAAAAAAACACAAACAAACGCGGTCAAGTAGACGACAAAGGATGCCACATTAAACATGGCATGAAGTTCGTTCCTTGCAAAAAGGGGACAGTCTATGAAATCCCATTCTCCTGCGGACACACATACATCAGTGAAACGGGGAGATGCTTCAACATCAGACTTCGCGAACATCGCAGTTCGGTAAAAGGTGGAGCATACTCCCATTTAGCAATATATTGCCGTGACTGCGGCTCTGAACTACGGTCCAGAGACGCAAGTATCTTGTACAAACATCAAACTCAGTTGTCTAGGGAGATTTTTGAGGCCTACCATATAGCGAAAAAAGAAAACAACGTACGTCAGCCAACCCTCAGGGAAACCTCAGGGACCGTGAGACGGCCTTTTTGGACCTTGGATAACATCTCCTTCGAAGAAAACAACAAAGAAGCCAACCTGCAGTGAAAGAAAAAAATGTGACACCACAGTGAAAGAAAAAGAAGACCTGATACCCGCGTGTTTTCAAAATAAGAAAGTTGATAGTCAGCGCCTTGTCCTGTATATATTTCTCTTTGTCCTTATGTTTCGCGCTGTTTTTCATTATCAGCTGCATAATATGTTAATTCTCCTGGACAATTTATAGACAGCAATGATCCCTGTGACGGAAGAATGTGATGTATCTTTGTTGGTATATTGGAATAGCTACAAACTCAAGTAAAAGACCAAAGGCAAAGGCCTCAGAAACTTTGCTTATGTCGGACACGTTACCCATTGCCAACCTTACTGAATCAACTCAGTTGTAAAACACCCGCGGAGGGGTGCACCCCCCTGTCCCATCAGGTCCGCGACTCGCCATATGAAGCGCCATCTAGAGTCTGCGTTTCAAAACTATTAATCGGAGACGTTATGGAGGTGTCAACTAGGCGCCGTGCTTCAAGACCCGTGCATTTTATAAAAGACACTGTAAATACCATAGCAGCTGTTCCCAAACCGGTGGCGCGTCGAACGACGGAAGGCCAACTTTGGAGGAAGAGGGAGGAGGCGGAGGGTACTGCTCGCGAAAGCAGCGTCTACGACAGTTTTGTAACTGAGCTGCTTGGCCTAGCGAAGCTTCCAGAATCTTATACGGGATGAAGTAGATCTGTGTTCGACAATCGTGAGCAAAAACACGTCAGCCTACAAATATATATATATATATATATATATATATATATATATATATATATATATATATATATATATATATATATATATAGGGTGTTTTCTTAAGCTTAACACATTTGCTTAAAAAAGCCGTGAAAGTTACACATATTTTACACATATGCCGCTTGTGGAGGTGAGTTATACGGCCAGGGGGACATATTAAAGGGGGCTAATCGTAACAATCAGTCGACTAATTAACTAAAATTCGGCGATTAACTTTTTAAATAATGAAATAGACATATGGTTCCAATTAGAAACTTGCTCAGCGTCATCGAAAACCACTAAATCAGTAATTTTCAGAAAGACTTTGAGCTCGTGAGAAGCGTAGTAGTGCACTAAAGTTACCACTCGTGGAGCAGGTACAAAGCTAGCGGTACCGATAAGGCGCCCGCGCGATTTTTCCGTCTCTTATCTAGCCCCAGCCTTGTACCTGCTCCACGAGTGGTAAGTTTAGTACAATACTACGCTTCTCACGCGCCTAAAGTCTTTCTGAAATGGACTGATTTAGTGGTTTTCGATGACGCCGAGCAAGTTTCTAATTTGAACCATATGTCTATTTTCATTAATTAAAAAGTTAATTAACAAATGTTAATTAATTAGACGACTGATGGTTACGATTAGCCCCCTATAATATGTCCCCCTGGCCGTATAACTCACCTCCACAAGCGGCAGAAGTGTAACTTTAACGGCTTTTTTTTAAACAAATCTGTTCAGCCTAAAAAAAACCACCATGTATATATATATATATATATATATATATTAACGAGACTAGAGCGGTATGAAATCGGTGTTCGTTCGTAATGAAGCCGGACTAAACTGAAACTACAGCGTGCTGTCCACAGATCTGGTTCAGGGCAAGACCCTTTTGGAAGTGGGCTGCGGTCCGACGCTCTGGCCTTCGTTCCTTTCCTCGAGGCGATTCAGCGACATCGTGCTAAGCGACCTGATGGAAGGCAACAGGCTGGAACTCGAGAAGTGCCTCGAGAGGAGTAAAGATGCCATCGACTGGACCTCCCGTGCTGGGGAAGTTGCTGCCTTGGAGGGCTACAGGTAAACGCATGGTATTTTGAATGTTTTAATTGCATTTCAGTCGACTCCCGCGACTTTGTGTGTTGTGTTTTCCTTTTTCCCCCCAGTCTCGGGGTTTTGTCCAAAATGTTAAACCTTCACCAGCTTGTTTGCGCCCTAACTTTTTGTTCTCTATCACCTCTCAATTTGTCGAAACTTTCAACGTATGGGACCCCAAATTCATTTTCCACTCCTTCCTCGAATAACAGCTCTCTCAAAATTAGGCAGGTACGTCAAAAGAAAGCGTGAAGGAATGTTTCACCTCGTATTGTCCGCGATGGTACAGCAAAGGCCGATCGGATTGCACCTATTTGAAAGGAATATCAAAAATCAGTTTCGTTTGTTCCGACATTTTAACTTAGCATGAAGGTGGAACTGTGCGGTGCGCGTTGCGAAAGTGATTGCCTATGGTTGGTCACCCTGCAAGTGAAAAGGCTAAGAAGAATTTACGCATAAAAAAATGAAATGCATCTCCCAAATCAGTTTCTCTTGCTCCGACATTGCAACCATTTAGCACAGATGTAGAACTGTGCGGTGCGCCTTTTGAGTGTGATTGCTGATCAATCAATAAACCTGATTTAATAGTGACGAACGCAATAAAAAAATTGCGGTTGTACTTACGTCACGCATGTCAAAATTGTGACACCTAGAATATGTTTTTGTGTCGTTAAACATTAATGCAATCGTTTACAAAAATATTTCTACAAATATTTCTACAAAACCTAGAGATTTCTACAAATCGTATTGTTTTTTTTAGTAGGGCAAGGTCACGCACCAACATTTGTGTTGCTGTATGTTCAGTTTGTCCGTTGTCCCGTTTATGTTCGCCCTAACTTTGCTTTATCTGAGTGTGCCATGTTCCGGGTTTTTGCCCACAGTCAAGTATGGGGTTTTTCGGGAAAAGGATTGCCAACTAGCATCAAATCTCTTTTGTGTGTGTGTGGTTTTTTTTCGTTTTCGAGAGTATGGAGTGAAAATATAATTCTGCTTAAAGACCATCTTTCTTGTGCATTTGTAGAAAAAGTCAGTTTTTTCTTCTCCTTTCGTTAGGTTTGGTTCTGTACTTGAACCCTATACAAAAACCTTAGCTTTCTATTTGGTTTATGCACTTGGTTTGTGTACTTCAGGTTCGAGTACCTAAGCTATATAAACCTGAACTTTCTCTAAAATAAATTCAGCTGGGTTTGAGACGTTGTGTTGCGTTCACCTTTGTTTTTTCCCGTCAAGGAGGTTTGTCTCAGAATATGGTGCACTTTTCGTTTGGTAATATCAATGAGGAAACTTGCCTCAATCAAAAGCTGCAATTTAAACCGTACAGGTAAAACCTAACAATTGTCTGTGGCACAGTCTGCATTGCATCTTTTTTATGCGAATGTGTAAAAGATGTTGCTAAGAATGTCTCGGACGCTTTATTTAAGAAAAACATCAAAGAGGGCAAAAAATATTTCAGACTTCCGCTTTCATTCCGTGCTTTCCCAAATAAAACACTTCGATGGCCTACCAAAACCGTTTTTACTTTTTGTAAAAAAAAAAAAAAAAATACTTAACTGCACTGAGCCAAAACCCATTTTGCGCCTCTGTTGTAATTTTCAACTAATGCAAATTCTGTCTTTCATATTAAAAAAAAATCAAAAGAACAAAATGTACAACCGAACCTCACCTTCGAACATGCTAAATTAATGCGTCGGAGCCTTACGATACTGATTTCTTACATACATTTAACGTACGTCTGTTTGGCCTACGCTGTAGACTGCCCTTTGGCACTTGGCGCCCCGATAAGAAATTTAATTTCCGCGAATTTTGCGATTGGACAAAATATCGCAAAGAGATTTGGTTTCGCAAATATATCTCCCCGGCAACTGAAAATACAAATCCTTTCTTTTTTTTTTTTTTTGGGGGGGGGGGGGGGGGGGGCTTACGAAACATAACAGGTTTCCATACCTTTCCAAAATTCGGGACATATTGAGCCCACGAAAATGAAGTCCTGTACAGTAGTAAGTTGCAGGGATGTCCGGCGCGGTGCTCGTTGTTTGTCAGTTTATTCTGGAGAGAAGGAACCAAGCCTAGTAAACGCAACTGCATAGGAGTAAACAGCTTCTCAAAAGTGGCAGCTAGCCTACGGGGTCCCCTCTTCTCCTTTCAGGAGCTGGTTCAAAGTCCAACCCAAGCCTTTATTGCGTAAGAAGCGACACTGTTTCTGTGCATGCGTATCGCTTCGACGGACGTGTACCATGAAACACCTGTCGTACAACAGACCACTTTCAGACGCGCGCGCCATCTAGCGAATGCTGCGCCAATTATTCGTGTCCCCGATTGTACGGGCGCGTACTCCGAGCATGTAAGTGGCACGAAGGCTACGTCAACGTTCGACGTGAACTCGGCTCGGCTCGTACCGAAAAACGAGTGCTCACGTCAGCGTTCGGCGAGCACTCGGATCTAATCACACGCTTTCTGGCCCGAGAAATTGCGAATTCCAATGTTGCTTGATTTGGGTTTTTGAGAAGAGTCTACTGGCTCGCAGCAAGTAAACTAAACGGGCAGCCATAGGGAATGTCTGGCCGACTTCGGTAAAGTGCGAATTCCGGATGTAATAATAACGTAGAATAGGGTTTAAGCGCTGATTCTTTTTCCGAAATACGAACTTAGGGCTGCGTATAATCCTCAATGTTGCTTTATTTGTTATCTTCGATATAAAATCTGGAAAAGGGGACATATTTAGACAAAACTAGACGCACATGTTTTCACGATAGAAGTTAAAATTATAATTGTTTAGATGAGGTCTTTCCTACTGTATCGTGGTTTCCTCAATTATGCGAGATGCCGAGCGCGAGGCAAGCCGAAGAGCTAAGAAAGTCCAGCTAATATCTGGTGAAAGCGTCGAGGCTTTAAGAATTATATAGAAAAGAAACATGTAGCATCAAATCCTGATATTTTCAAATAGTCTGCAAAAATCTATATACACTGTCAGGTATCATTGATATATATACCAGGGCACAGACTTTCCGGTGTTTATTGTAAGAGAAATCGGTTAATGTTTTGCGGTGTTTATTTTTTCAAAATACCGGTGTGCTTCTGTGATTTGTTTCTGATGAACGCTAGAAACGTTGATTATCGGTGAAAGTGTTTTCCGAAAAACTAAGAGTTGAAGACCGAGAGCGGAGGTTTTCAATAAAAACAAAACAAAAAACAGTCCTACGCTTAATTCCAGTGCAAGTCGAAACCCAGCCGACGTTACCAGGTGATGGGAGGAATCAGGCTGCGTTAAAGGCGCAAGTCACTAGGCCGTTTTGTTTATGATTAGATCACAGATGATAGAACACATACAGAAACATGACGAGCACCAGGACGGTGCACTTTTGACGCTGTCTGATGGGTGTCATCAGCTCGTGGCGTCGGCTCCGTCTGGACTTAAGCTGAAAAGAAATATAGCTAAAACAAAAACTTAGAGGAAGCAGTTTTTCTTTTTCCTTTAATCCGATTTTGTGATTTTTACGCCACCAATTATGTTTTTTGGGGTTTTTCGGTTTTAACTAATTTTGAGGTTTTTTTTAGATTAATAGATGTTCCTCAGCGTTTTTCAGTTTTAACAAATTTTGTATTTTTCGGACAAGAGGTGTTTATCGGCATTTTTCGGTTTTGACCGGTTTTATGATTTGGTTACCGACGGACCTTTGTCTGTGTTTTTCGGTTTCAACCGATTTTGTTCTGTTGTCACCGACAGATTACTATCGCTTTTTTTTTGTGGTTTAAACCTTTTTTTGTATTTTCGTCACCGACGGAACTTTATCATAACAGACTAAAACCCCTAGACGAGGGAGCACGAGGGACGACAAGGCCACAGAAGTTCCCTTTTCTCTCTACTCTCGGTGTTTTAGTCTATTATGTTCAACCATCACCAGCTTTCTTTGTACCCAGACTTTCTGAACTTTATCAGCGTGTTTAGGTTAAAACCGGTAAGTCCACGGCCAACATCTAACTTACGCAGCACACCTTTGTTGCGATTTACAGCGATACCAAGAAGGGGGCGCTAGAAATACTAGAGCGCACCCGATCCTCGATCCGCAAGGTGGTTCACTGCGATGTCCTGACACCCGGAGTGCTCCCACAGGAACACGAGGAAGCCTTTGACGTCGTCCTTTCCTGCAACTGCATCGAGTGTGCCATAACAAACCACGAATCTTTCCGGTGCGCGGCCTGCAACGTAGGGTCTCTCGTCAAACCTGGCGGTCTGCTCGTTCTGGCTGGTTTGGGTGGCCCAGGGAAATTCACCATAGGAGACCATGAATTCCCCATGGTGAAGATCACCGACGACGTGGTCAAAGGAGCGGTGGCAGATGCCGGCTTTAAACTCAATGTATACCGCACGGAAAACATGAGCGTTATGGGACAACCTGAGGTATTCGTGTTTGTCCTGGCGGCCCACAAATCTTTTAAAAGGGATCTCTAACAATATTTCAGCTCCTGCGCGTTTTGTTATTTCCTCATTAGTTGGTCGGGCTACTCAGAGAACAAGGAGTAGACACAAACTATTATCGCGTCATATTTTAATTGGATAAGGCAAAAACAGCGCAACGTTTGGTGGCGCCCCAGTTTGTTGAAGACGCGCAGTTAGTGACGTTTTGGGAAGAGCCGTCAGAATTTATTTTATGCAGACGAAATGAAATGTATCACTCAATAAAGCATCGTTATTCTCTAAAAAAAATGTGTTTTTATTTAGCTAGAAAGGCAAAAAAAAGTAAAGCAATCTAAAAAAAGAAGAAAAAAAAACGACTTTTTTAGACGCTTGTTTTCCAGCGGCGGTGGTGGCGGGACCGGCGAACCAATTTTCCCAACTTCCGATCCTCGGGCAAGCGTTCCATTCGGGAATCGGCGTTCGGGATGTCGGAACAACGGAACCAATGGGACGCTTATTTCTGCAATTTTAATCTGCTGCTCTTGCCGCGTGTTGGGTTTTGCCAGCTGTTCTCACCGACCAGATGGATGTCCTGGTGCTTTTGTGTCGGTTTCCGCATCAGTGCAATCGATTGGACGAGTCTGCGCATGCCGCTGGGGTTACCACGAGAAGCTTCGTAGGTCTAACGAGACGGGCGCTCCTGCCCGTAAAGCTGGCAAAAGCTCGAAGCTAGACGACGTGCCAGAGGGAGACTCAATTAGAATTCAGGACAATCTAGCTCATGCATAAGCTATATGTATGATCATGAGCTAGTCGTACGCGCCGGTAGCCGCTCACGCATAAAACAACAAAGGCCAGGTGTCGATTCGTTCAAACAACCCTACTGAAAAAAACCATTTGGGGCCCATATGAAAATAAACGGGTCCATACCGGTAACCGTTTAACCATACTGGTCACCAGTTTGTCAAAGGGGTCGCCCGTATGGCTCAAAGGGGTCCCCCGTATGAGCCATAACGGTCACCTATTTGGCAAACGGGTCGCTCGTCTGGGCAAATGGGCGACTCGTTAGGGCAAAGTTGTCGCACGTTTGCTCGAACCGGTGACCATGTTGCAAACTGCACCGGTTTAATCAAACGGCTCTCCGGAGCCCGTTTGATATTGAACGTACAGATCGGCGGCGTGGGCACGCCTAGCGTTTCAGCCGTGGCAGCCAATGTTTTCCGGAAGGCTGGGAGCGCCGGTTCATCGATTTCAGATCGTCCGCGTAATGCAAGTAATTATATTTATATTTCAATTCCGCTGATTTTCGATTATACTGCAACTAAAACTAACACCTTTTTTTTTTGTTTTACGTAAACGCGCGACGTTGGTGAGCCGATATTTTTGACAGACCTTTAATACTTTGTCCATCTTTGTTGCCTCAATGTACTTATTCAGCTCGAATCTCTTTCGCAGGAGACGCGACCGCGTGAAAGAATGTACGTCTAGACTCCGTTTCACTTTAATTCAAGACGCAGCGAAGGTAGCACGCGTACACGCGGCTGCAAGAACATCGAGCATTGCGAGAGCACGCCCGCCGTTGCAGCACTCAAACTACGAGCTTGCGCTGAGTTCTTTCTTCGCTCGGGCGCAAGCCGAGCTTCAGGCAGCCCCGCCGCCATTTCCAAAGTTCGAGCGCGCGCGCGCGCGTTTGTTCTTCGGGACTACAAAAACGCATCTCCCTGGAATGCCTGGGGAGAGGGAGAGGGGCTGTCCCGGTGGTCCCAGCGCCTTGACCTCGCCCCCTCCGTCCTCTCTTGTCACCCCTGTCACGTGACCCACAGCAGCGCGCGAGCTACACGCTGATAAGCATCGAGATCCGGAAGGGCGCGCCTTGCAGCCGCTTTTTTCTTTGTCTGCTTGTTGTCAGTTGCTGCTCGAAGTTCGCTCGTTCTACCTGCTTCAATCTGCCGCCTAACCCTGCGGTCTTATTGGGATGTCTCTCGACAACGTATTGGATGTGCACCAAAGCTATCAGTGTTCGAAAAGACCCACGTGTATGTCGGCAACGAGCGATTCTTCAAAGAAGTCGCAAATTCTCGCGGTTTGGTTGGGTTCGGCAAATGACAGCTTGTGCGCCGCATCGTTGTGAAACTTCCAAGGAGCCGTTCACTCTCGTTTGTGTTTGTGTAGTTGTCCTGCTTTGACCGTGTCGACAAATATCACGGATTACGTCTTTCAAGTCCGCTATTGTTATGGTAAGTGCACTGCAACCTACGTGTTGGCAACGATTGACCGTTCTTCTACGCGTACTCTTCTAAATTATCTAAAGAATTATGCAGCGCCTATTCGCGCGGCAGCCAGGAGAATAATTTCCCCGAAAGTCTACCTGTATAGTGTTCACAGATCGCTTGCACGTTTGTACTTGTCTACAGAAGAGGTAATAAACTTCGAGGAGAATTGAAAACAATCTTTTGTGTCGGTTTTCCTGTCCACTTACAAGCACCTACGCGAGTGCATTTGTTCGACGTGTTTTCTCCATGTTATAAATACGTTTATGAGTTTCGGGACGTCTTAAATATGTTTAAGATAACCAGCCTCCCAGACGATACCCATTTAGGGCTAGCGCATAATTTGCAATTTCGAAGGACACGTTCAAACGTGTGGTCACGTGCCATGTCAAACGGGTACTCGTACCATACGGCACCCGTATCAAACGGGCACCTGTATCAAACGGGTACCGTTTCGAACGGGTACCGTTTCCAAACGGGTACCCGTATCCCATAATCACGTTTGATCCAACCGGATCGACAGGTTTGATTCAAACGGGCGACCAGTTTGCCACCCGTTTGAATTTCAAATGGTTTTTTTCAGTAGGGAAGGGCCTGCCTGCGGATTAGCGCCTAATGACTTCGACGTGCGCAGTATTACGGTCTTTTTAATGCGAAAGCATTAACTGTCCCATGGAGCGAAGCGGCCTTATCAGCTTTCGAAGCCGCGCCAAACGGCACCTAAATTACCCTGTCCCATGGAAGGAAGCCTGTAGTCTGTAGCAGTGAACTGATACATAAGCTCCAATTGGCTGGCGCGCGGCGTAGTTCCAGGGAACGCCACCCCACAGAGAAGCCCTCTCCATGGCGCAGCGGCCCGGCCGCCAGTAAGAGGGAGAGGGTGGCCGGGCTCTGCAAAGCGACCGGCCGTAGAACCCGCCCGGGCAGCATCCGCAGAAATCGCCCGGCCGGGCTCAGCTAGCGCTGTGCACAGCTTCTAGGAATACGCTACAAATACGAATGGTTTCGCATTCCTACAATTTAGCGGTCTTAAGTTTCTTTGTAGTTTCTTCCAGATTTGGTGACATTCGGGAGAAAAGAAATGCTTACATGAACTCGTCATCCCCGTCCTTTTCTTTTTTTTTTTTCAACCTATCACGGTGCGGCTAACCCCTGACCGAATTCTGCTTCAATTATACCGGTTGCATAAATACCAATCAGCAGAAACGGAAAGGTGCGGGGCGCGGCGTAGTGGACGACGTCGGCACGATCTCCCTCGGAGCCTGAATCTAGGACGATACAAGGGGCTATGGCGACGATGCGCACCCGTTCTCGGCAAGGTAGCCATGAACCTAACCCGCAGCCAATTGGCCAGACGCTTCGCTCAAGCCCCCCAATCGTTGAATTGTCCACAAAGAGGTTCGTTCAGACAGTTGTGTGAACTGCGTTGCGCCGCGTTGCGTCGTACAGCACAGCGCCTTCCTCATTGGTTCGTCGTAAGGATTGCCATAGCAACAGCTCGACCCAGTCAGCCTTAGCGCAGTCAAACGTAATTGTTCAAACGAGGCTTAATATGTCACACAGCTCAAATCTTTTAATTGTTATTTTAATCTCGAATCGCTTATATTTCCCAAAACAAATTGCATTTCCAGTAGAAAAAAAGAAAAATATCTTTCTCGCAAATTCCAAACTAGTCCAAAAATCGTTTTAAGTCACGGCCGAGAACTCTGAGCAGATGGTAGTTCAGTGAAAGTAGAAGGTAGTGAGGGCCCATTCCTTTGTTGTCCATGATTGTGGTTTGGGGTCACCCCGTGGCAGTGGATGTTGATACCTATGAGTTATAAATGAGTGCCCAATTCTCAGGCGGCACAACAACGTTTCATGAAGTCGGCTCTTGCATGAAGAGCTTTCCCAAACTCCCAATGCAGGTTTGGTAACATGGAGCTTGTTATCGCACTCCATGTCCCATTCCAATTGCCAAGAATGAAGAATCGAGGACTTCACCAAGGGCTTATTATCTTGATAGGGTAAACAGGACAGCGATTGTGGAAGGTTCCCAGCAGATCCTGCAAGCTTGTCGGCTTCTTCATTGCCTTGAATGCCAATATGACTGGGTACCCAAAAAAATTTTATATTTTGACCCCCATGCAAAGCAGAGCTAAGTTCATATCGAATTTGTTGTACAAGCATATTTTTAGTATCTTTAAGAGAGCAAACTGCAAGAATCACACTTTGAGAGTCAACAAGCAGGACCGCCCTCAGTACTTTCCTACTGATAGTATAGACAATCGCCATTGATACCGCATAGAGCTCCGCAGTAAAAATGCTGGCAATACAATCAACTCGTTGAACCTTGGAGAAGCTTTGAGAGTATACAGCGCAACCGACGAAAGATGAAATCTTGGCGCCATCTGTATAAACATGAAGATAACCATCATACTTATTTTGCTGTTCAGCAAACTCTTGCTTAATTACAGCATGGGAAATGCTGTGCTTGTTGAAGTTCGCGAGAGACCAGTCAGATTCAACTCGCTGTGTTTTCCAAGGTGGAATACCGTTGACTTTCCGAACGAGGACGACCTGGTCCACAGAGAGGTCCAGCGAGGAGCGAAGATGTTCAATGCGGAAGCTTAACGGTGTTACAATGCTTGATTTATTTTCAAAAAAAGAGATAGAACCTTGACCTTGTGAGGGAAGAGTAAGTTGGATGCTGAGCGTCGGCCAGAATCTTGTAAGCATATGTTAGACTAAGATATGTACGTCGTTTGTTCAGGGACAGCTCACTGGATTCTGCAGACAAACTGA